GGGGACCGTGTTTGTCTCCCTCATTGGCCCCAAGGACGGGGGCGAAGACCAGGGAGGCCGGCAGTTTCGGATCCAAGTGTTTTTTTTTAATTCGCACCCGAGGATATGTTTTTATTATTTTCTTTTTTTAAGGAATGGGGAGTGTGGGGGAGAGAGAAACATGGATGTGAGAAGCATCCGTCGATTGCCTCCTTGCACGCACCCCGACCTGGGAGGGAACCCGAAACCCAGGTATCTATATGCCCCGGACCGGGAGTCGAACCCGCCACCTTTTTGGTTTACCGGATGACACTCCAACGCACCGAGCCGCCGCGCCTGGGCTGGGACCACCGAGTCCTGGCCGATTGGAGTCTGTTGGCTGCACGGAGGGTCGGTAGGGCCGTCGCCTGTAGAGTCAGTCATTGCACCGTGTGTAGGACACAGGCCCGCCACCCCTGGCTCTGCAAGAAGGACATCTTCCCAGGCAGCGGATTGGTGGGAGCCACTCCCCATCTCCTGAGACACCCGTCCTCCTGAGCTCCTGGATTGTGCTCCTGGGCCTGGGGTGCTCCTGGCACTCACTGGGGACCCACCTTGTTGATTGCTTTACCCAACAGCCATTGCCTTCCTACTCACCGATACTTGTTACTTGCTACCATGACCCTGCAATGTGTGTATTCCAGAAAGTCTGGAATCTACATTCCAAAGGATGTCTTTTTTTTTTTTATAATTTTTTTTTTTTATTGATTTCAGAGAGGAAGGGAGAGGGAACGGGGTGATACCACATCCCTCAGGGAGTCTCCCACAAAGTGTGCGGGACAGCGGTGGCCAAGGGCCGGGGCGTGAGGGCTCCTGGCCTGGTGCAGAGGGGGGGCGGGGGGAGAGTGTCCCCTTCCTGTAGAGGGTGGACGGTTGGCTGGGAGCGGGGAGATGAGGCCTCCAGGACTCCTGGGCTGGGAAGGGGGTCTTGGCCAGGCTCTAGGGGTGTCTCTAGGTAGGGGAGGCCTCAGGTTGAACGGGGAGTGGGTGGTTCTCTGGGTACTAAGGAGGTAGGTGTCAAGCCTGCCTAGGGGTTGTTGACCGGGCTGAGCTAAAGTAAATGGTCCCTTGGGCTGGTCTGAGGGCCCTTGGGCGCGGGGTGGGGCTGAACTGGAGGGCCAGGGCACATGGTGAATTTGGGACCCCGTTCCCACCGAAACTTCCCAGGTTCCGTCAAACAGCCTAGAATGCAGGCCTATCTGACCGTCCAGCCATAGTTGAGGAAGGGACCCGGGGACGCACCTTGTGCTGGACCCCAGGGTGGTCACCGCCCGTCCCTCCCAGCTTCCCTTGCCCACCATGCTGGCCTGGCACAGGCTAGGGGCGTTTGCTCAAGTAGAGTTTGGTTTCGTTCAGCCATTGGGAGGGGGAGAATTGGAGGGGCTAGAGTTGGTGCCCTGAGCATAAACTTAGTTGAAGGAACTGAGAAATCTTGGGGGACCACACCCAAGGGCATGCCTGACTGCAGGGGAGCAGCAAAGGGGAGCCGTGTGGGGGCTGCTAGGAAAGGCCTCTCAAACTGGGTATCCACTCCCATCCTTGGGTTTTGCCGTGTCTGGTACTCGCCATTTGATTTGCTTAATAATCTCTAAATCCACTCACTTGTTAAAACTCAAAACTCCTCCATTTGACCCAGCAGTCCCACTTCTAGCAATAGATCCTGTATTCAGAGCAGTGTTATTTACAATAGCCAAGCTCTGGAAATAGCCCACGTGCCCATCAGTAGGTGAATGGATAAAAAGAAAAAGTGGTATATTTACACAATGGAATACTACATGGCTGTTAAAAGAACTCTTCCGCTTTGCAATAGCAGGGACGGACCTGGAGATTATGATGCTAAGCGAAATAAGCCAGTCAGAGAAAGACAATTATATGTGGAACCTGATGAACAAAATAGGTCCAGAGACATGGATGCAAGGACCAGACAGATCTCAGAGGGAAGGGGCCTTGGAGGGGACTGGAAGAGATGAGCTAAAGAACGTACGTGCATATATAAATAGCCCATGGACCCAGGCTACAGTGGGGTGAAGGCCAGGGGCTGGGGTTGGGTGGAGGAGGGAAATGGGGGACATCTGTAATAGTGTCAATAAAAACCCTCAAAACTACTTTTAAAGGGGTCTTTCAGTTACTCATTCACTTGTCAAACATGAAATTCAGTTGAAACAAAATATTGCTTGAATTTTAGCCAGATTATGTTGCCTCTGAAAGCCTGTTCTTTTTATTATTTTTTTAAATCCGTACCTGAGGATATTGTTCAATTTTTAGAGAGTGGAAGGGAGAAGAGAGAAATATGGATGTGAGACACATCAATTGGTTGCCTTCCGTATGTGCCCTGAGCAGGGCCAGGGATGGAGCCTGCAACCTAGGTATGTGCCCTTGACCAGAATCAAACCCAGGCCCCTTCAGTCTGCAGGGCAACGCTCTATCCACTGAGCCAAACTGGCTAGGGCATGAAAACCTGTTCATTTTGTTAAAAAAAGGTTTATTTGCCAAGTGTGAGAGAGGCTTAAAAAACAGCACCAAACCAAGACCTTGATATTGGGAATCTCTGGTGGAAAACCACGAAGGGAGCCTCTTCCTTGCTTTGAGGGTTGGTATTAAGGGCAGATGATTTAGTTGCTCAACTACACCGTTCCTGGGTGATCCTAGTGTTGAACCAGGGGATGATCTTTCCATGGACCCTGAGAGGAGGGGGTGTTGTGGAATTCCAGGGATGGTCATCCTGGGAGGAGAGATGCTTGTGGTTGGGGGATCGGTTTGTTGATTGAGAGGCAGATGATTCATTGGTTGTTGGTGTGTGCTCTGACTAGGGATCGAACCTGCAACCTGGGGGTATCAGGACACACTCTAACCAACTGAGCCACCCTGCCAGGGCCCAGCAAATGTTCCTTAAGGGGAGAGTAGTGAACAGCCACACCCAGTCTCTGCCCCCATGGGCCTCATGTTCCAGCCAGAACCACAGACCTGTAATTCCATTGGTCATGCAGGGCTATGGGAGCTGTGAGGCTGTCAGGGTGAGGGCTGAGGGCATGAGCAGGGTGGCTGGCGGCGCCTTCCCAGAGGGAGGGAGAGGGTCAGCAAAGAAGATGGAGCCACATCCTTCTAAGACAGTGGTTCTCAACCTTCCTAATGCCGCAACCCTTTAATATACAGTTCCTCATGTTGTGGTGACCCCCAATTTCATCGTTACAAATGGAACATAATTAAAGCATAGTGATTAATCACAAAATATGTAATTATGTGTTTTCTGATGGTCTTAGGCGACCCCTTTGAAAGGGTCGTTCGATCCCTAAAGGGGTCTCGACCCACAGGTTGAGAACCGCTGTTCTAAGCTTGTCTCAAGGAAGTCACATGGCATTATTCTGCTGCCGCTATTGGCCGGAACAAGCCCAGGCGGTTTCTGGGGAGGAATGGCTAAGGATTTGTGGCCACGTTTGAAACTGCCGCGGACAGGAAGGCAGTCGGCTCACCTCTAGTGACCACCTCCTCACCACAAACCAGTGTGTGACATTTAGGATGAAGGGACCTTGTTTGAGGACATGGCTGTGAACTCACCAGCCAGTGCTGGGCCCCCCGGTGAGGCGCTACAACAGCGTTGGTTCTCGGAGAACTGCTCCTTCTCCCTAGGAAAGGTCTCCCACTCATGCAGTGGGCGGGCAGCGGCACCCACGTAACTTCTTCAACCCAGATGTTCCCATCGCTCCAAGCCAACAGGGCCATGTCAGGTCCTGGAAAAGACTACATGTGATACCACAGCCAGGAGCCCTTTGCCTGGAGAGGCCCTGCAGGCAGCACTCAACCACCAACTGCTGAACGTTCATTACTTCTGACCCAGGGGTTTAGAAAATGTTTTCAAATGTTTATGCAGAACTCGAGAGGACAAAGGTGGAGGAGGAGTGGAGGAAGGGACAGAATGGGCTGCGGGTTACAGGCTGTGACCTGGAGAAATTTGTAAAGAAATACATTTTTATTGATTTCAGAGAGGAAGGGAGGGGGAGATAGAAGCATCAATGAGGAGAGAGAATCATTGATTGGCTGCCTCCTGCACACCCACTACTGGGGATCAAGCCTGCAACCCAGGCACGGGCCCTAACCCGGAATCAAACCGTGACTTCCTGGTTCATAGGTTGATGCTCAACCACTGACCCACCCCAGCTGGACCTGGAAAATTTTAATGTCATCTCACGTGACACATGGGCGTCAAATACATGTCCCTCCCTCCCAGGAGGCCCTCAGGGAAGTGGAAATGTGAAGCGCACGTGCCCAGGTGTCCATGCTTGCCTGGGGTTTCCAGCTCTCTGGGCCCCTAGGACAGTGATGGCGAACCTGACACGCGTGTCAGAGGTGACGCGCGAACTCACTTTTTGGGTTGATTTTCTTTGTTAAATGGCATTTAAATATATAGAATAAATATCAAAAATATAAGTCTTTGTTTTACTATGGTTGCAAATATCAAAAAATTTCTATATGCGACACGGCACCAGAGTTAAGTTGGGGTTTTTCAAAATGCGGGCACGCCGAGCTCAAAAGGTTCGCCATCACTGCCCTGGGACTTGCTCTCTATGTCCCCGTGCCCTGCACACCTCACTGTATCTTGATGGGACAAGGGACGCAATGACATTCATCCTGACTCACTTGGAATCCTGGGCCGGAGGGATTGCAGCCTTGCACAGAATCTGCTAGAATTGGTCTGACAACCTCCATCCTTTTTAAAAAAAAACCCCAATTAATTTTGTTATCCCCCCAACCCCGAGGATTATTAAATATTGATTTTTTAGAGAGAGAGGAAAGGGGAGAGAGAAACATTGATCAGTTGCTGCCCATAGGCGCCCTGACTGGGAATCAACCCGCAACCTTTTGGTGAATGGGACGATGCTCCACCCAACTGAGCTGCCTGCCAGGGCTCCATTCCTGTGTGTCAACATTGCTTATTTATCAAAACAATAATGAAGGGTATTTAAATAGGAAAATACCCACACAGATTCTACCACAGAAATATAGTTTACTTATCCATCTTCTCTCTTAGTCCTTGTTCATACACATAAATACTTTACTACAAATATCAGTGCACCCACTTCATTGTAAGCACTTAGCTTTCAGTAATATAATGACCAAATCATAACTGCAAATCCATTGAGTAAAAAACTAGATCTGTTTTCCAGCCGTCACATTCATTATCGACGATGCCCACGTCACCTGTGTGTGCAGGACGGGCCCCTGGCGGTCCTTTGGTCTTGAGAACACCGTCACTCAGTGCTTTGGGGTCAGGCCCGAGTCCCACCACACCACTCGGGTTCTGGTGCAGGACTGGGCTGAGAAGGCAGCGTCTCATCAACTGGCGTTAGCGCTAGATCGGTGTCTCTTCTTGCGTTTAGCCCCACTGTGCGTCTTCTGGTGCCCGATGAGGTGTGAGCTCTGGGTGAAGGCCTTCCCGCATCTGTCGCAGACGTAGGGGCGCTCCCCAGTGTGGATCCTCTGGTGGCGGATGAGGTGGGAGCTCTGGCGGAAAGTCTTGTTGCAGAACTTGCACAGGTAGGGCCTGGCTCCGGTGTGAGTCCTCAGGTGCTGGGAGATGGCCGAGCGGTCATTGAAGGTCCGCCCACACTCTCGACACTGGAACGGCCTCTCTCCAGTATGAATCCTCTGGTGCTGCGTGAGGGAGGAGCTCTGGATGAAGGCCTTCCCGCAGAACCCGCACACGTAGGGCTTCTCTCCCGTGTGGATTTTTCTGTGCACGGAGAAGTACCTGGGGTTCCGGAACAGTTTGCTGCACGCGCTGCAGCGGAACACCTGGCTCCCCTTGTGGATCCGTATGAACGTGACCTGCGGGGTGCTCCTGGTTTCCCGGGCTCTGCCCCCTTGGCGGCTCTGCTGGGTTTTCACCTGGGAATCACGCGCTGCCTTTCTGATGCGTGAGCTATGCCTGCGCAAGCTTTTCCGGGGCAGAGTTTTCCGGAGGGAGGCGCGGCTTGTGGCGAGACCCCTGTCTGCGGGGGACTTGGGGCTTTCATGGTGCTGCTTCTCAGAGAGGGCTTTCTCCTGGGCCAGACCCTCGGGCGGCAATGCCATGTCCCCAACTTCCAGGGCCGCCCCCTGCGGGGCCTCCGCTGAGGTAGAGGGTTGGGCCTCGGCCCCCGAGAGCTCTTCCACTTTCAGGTCGGGGGCTGGTTCTGCCGCAGGAACAGCTGACTTTGGGGGTAACTGCTCCCCTTCCACTGTAGTCTCCCAGCCTGAAAGACACCAGAAGGTGTGGGTGACGCAGAGGAAGTGCTGAAGTTTTGGGCTGAGAGCAGGACAATTACGTTTAAAAGCCGGGGGATGTCTTATGTGTTTTTTAATCCTCAGCTGAGGGTATGTTTTTATTCATTTTATCAAGGAAGGGGCAGAGAAAGAGAAACAGCTGCCTCCTGTACACATCCTGACCGGGGAACGAACCCACAACCTAGGTATGTTCCCTGATGGGGAACTGAACCCACAACCTCTTGGCGTGGGGGTCAATACTCCCCCCAACTGAGACCCCCGGCCAGGGCAAAGCTGGGGACGGTCTCCCCCAAGTGCAGTCTTGCAACCTGGGGAGCGACTGAGAGAAGCAGTAATGCAGCCAAGCGGGGACACTGTGCTGTGCTCGAGCTGGGTGTCTGCCAGCTCTCCACCTCCTGTGCAGCCCTCAGACGCCCAGTGAGGTCCTTCAGTGGGACTGAGGCTGCCCCATGCACACAACACCCACCCCTTCAGGGCCACAGGCCAGTTCCAGGCCCCGGCTGGTGCCAGGGACTTGAGAAACATCCATGTGAGAAAGACACATCGACCTCCTGTATGCGCCCTGACCCAGAATCGAACCTGCAGCCTTTCGGCTTACAGGACGATACTCCAACCAACCAAGCCCCCCAGCCAGGGCTGCAGGGGCCTCTTGAGGGCACACCCATCCCTCCAGCTGGGCCCAGAGAAGGCACACGCGGACTCGGAGGGCAGTGCGGGCGAGGGCGAGGCCTCACCCACGGAGACCAGGTGTCGGAAGGTCTCCAGCATCACGTCATGGTACTCGGTCCTCTGCGTGGGGTCCAGCAGCTCCCACTCGTCCCTGTTGAAGTCCACGGCCACGTCCAGGAAGGTCACTGGCTCCTGCAAGGCCACAGTGTGCTGCTCAGCAGGAGGGTCAGGAGCCCTCGAAGGGGACAGAGCCTGCTCTGGGGGGAGGGGTGCCTTTGCTTTGGGGAAGCGTGTGGGCTGAGGCAGAGCCCCAACTTCACCAGGCGTGGCAGGTACCTCGGCCGCCCACACCAAGTCCAGCTCACCTTTCCCCTCTCCCCGCGCGTCCTGCTCCTGGGCAGCCTACCCACACGGGGGGACAACAGTTGCCGTGCGGGCGTCCCCAGGCCGCCGTGACCGGGATCAGTCCTTTCCGAGGGGCCCACGAGGACGCCAGGGGGAGAGGCCTCCCACGGCCCTTTGCCTGGACCTGGGAGGCATTTTGCCCACAAGAGGCAGAGCCACAAGATGGGCTGGAGAGCCCTCCACCACCGGGGAGCCCCTGGACACAGCCTGACTGAAGCACCCCCAGGTCACCCCACACGAGCGCCAGCACCTTCCTGCAGAGGCAGCTTCCGCCAGGAGCAGCCCTGGCCAGGGCCACACAGACACAGGGCTGGGGCCAATCTCTGAGCCTCAACAACTCTGGTTATTTTGCGGCAAATCTCAGTCACGCTCTCCTGCCCTTCACCCTCGGAAACTCCGAAAGGCCTGGCCCGGAGGCTGCGGGGGTGGGGTGGGGGCGGGGGTCCCTCCCAGGGGAAGCTGTGACAGAGCAGGAAGGGGTGCCGCTCCCCTCACCTCCGGCAGGACCTCCGCTGGGCAGGTCGTCTCCTTCTCCTTCTCCTCCTGCTGAGCTGGGGTCTCCGGAGGGCAGGTGGGGCCCGGGGCAGGCAGATCTGCGAGAGCAGCACAGGGTCGGGGGTGTCGGGACAGGGCCAGCCGTCTCTGGCCCGACGGGGCTCCGTGTGCTCCACTCACCTTCTCCTCAGAGGCTAAGCCCACACCTCTGGCCCCTGAGTCCTCCGACCGCCTGTCCCCGCCTGACACTGTGGGGGTGGGGCTGTCCGGCCCCAGGACAGACCCGCTCTCCCGACACACCCGTCCTGATGTGAACTCTGCCAAGTCTCCTCCAATTCAGGAAACAGCCCTGCTCAGCCCTAACTTTCCCCAACCTCCGTGTACCCCATCAATGTCTCCCCCTCTCTCTTCCTCTAAAATAAAAAAAATATCCTCAGGTGAGGATTTAAAAATAGAAAAAAAACCATCAGGTGCTGCATGGGGCAGGGAGGTGAGCAAAATGGACCTCAGCCACACAGAGGCCAGTCCCATGGACTCGGCTCCCAAACGCAGCCACCCCTCCTGGCTGGGCGGCTCAATGGTTAAAGCGTCACCCCGATATGCCAAGGTTGTGGGTTCCATCCCTGATCAGGGCATATGTGGAAGGCAGCTAATTGATGTCTTTCTCTCTCTAAAATAAATAAATAAGTAAATAAATAAGACCCCAGTGGGTGTGGCTCAGTGGTTGAGCGTCAACCTATGAACCAGGAGGTCACGGTTCAATTCCCGGGCAGGGCACATGCTCGGGTTGTGGGCTCCATCCCCAGGGTGGGGCGTGCAGGAGGCAGCCGTCAATGATTCACTGTCATCATTGATGTTTCTCTCTCTCCCTCTCCCTTCTCTGAAATCAATAAAAATACATTAAAAAAATACATAAATAAGTGGAACAACAAATCAATGTTTTTCTTTCCTAAATAAATAAATAAATAAACTTAAGGGAAAAAAGCAACCCATTAGTCCACCAGCCACACCTGCTGCCAACGAGGAGCCTGGGAAGTTCGCTCAGACCTGCCGCCGCCCCTGAACTCAGGGCTCGGTTCCCCCTGAGCCAGGGAACTTCCCCAGGGCCCTGCCCCGCCCGGCGCTCCTGCTGGTAGACCGACCCCCCCTTCTGATGCCGGAACAGGCTGTGGGCTTCCAACGTGGCCTGTGCAGGGGGTGCTCCCCGCCCCCCATCCTGCTGCCTGAGCTCTGCTCATACCAGGTGTTAGCCTCCACGGCCCCACGACCAGCGCCCTCTAGTTCCTCTCGACTCCACCGTCTCACAGGCATTCATTCGCCACGTTCCCACCTCACACACTCATCTGTCATGTTCCCGTCTCACACGCATCTGTTCGTCACGTTCCCATCTTTGCTGCGAGACGGAGACCTGCTGCGCTCAGGAGCCTGTGTCCTGGTCACCACGGTGTGCCCAGCCCCACCGCATGGGGGACGTGGGAAGGCACCCCTGAACATGCCTGTGGGACTGAAGTCAGGTTCCTCCTGGCTTGTGGGCAGAGCCTGGAGGACACTGAGGCAGCTCATTGGAGAGCTCCCCGAGAAGCCTGTGGGGGGGCTCCTTGCGCAGGCAGGGCCAGCCCCCCACCCCCAGGGTTCCACAGCTGGGCTGGGGCCTGAGGCCTCCATTTCCACAGCTGGGTCCAGGGAGGACTCGCAAAGCTCTTGATCTGAGGCCACGGCAGGGACCCCCGCAGGGATGCACCCACCCCCGTCCCCCAAGACGCCCCACAGGGTGCCCCCTCCGCACTGGCCCCGGCACCCACCTTTCTCCTCGGATGCCCGGGTCACATCCTCCACCAGGGCCACCGCCTGCTGGCTGTCCTGCGGGTGCTGAGACTCCACCCACACCCGGAGCTGGGCGGGCAGCGCGCCCAGGAACTGCTCCAGCACCAGCGCCTCCAGCATCTGCTCCTTGGAGTGCAACTCGGGCCGCAGCCACTGGCGGCACAGCTCGCGGAGCTGGGCCTGGGCTTCTCGGGGCCCCGCCACCTCCTCAAAGCGGAAGCCCCGGAAGCGCTGTCGGGCGGCCTCGGGGTCGGCGGGGTGGCTGCCGGGCAGCGGCAGGGGCTCCCCGAGGCCCTCGGGGCTCAGGCCGTCGTCTCCGTCTCCATCTCCGTCTCCGGCGTAGAGGGCCCAGATGCGGGCGTTCCGGGAGCGCGCCGCCTCCTCGTTCAGGGAGAGCACCTCCACCACCTCGATCTGCATCGGCGGCGCCGCGGCGGGAAGGGGGTCCCGCGGAGGGTCCCGCGGAGCCTCAGGACGCCCTGGAGCGAGAAGCGGAGGAGCCGTGACCAGGGAGCACGTGCGCCTTCGGGCGGGGCTCGGGGGCTGCACATCGACCATGAACCGGGTCACAGCTCCATCCGGTCAGGGCCCAGGCCCGGGTGGGCTCCATGCCCAGCGGGGCTGCAGGAGGCAGCCTCTCTCATCACCGACGTTTCTCTCTCCCTTTCCCTTCCTCTCTGTAAACAATCAATAAAATATATTTAAAAAAGAAACACATGAAAAGACGTTCAACATCATTAGCCTCCCGGAAAGCGCAAAGTGAAACCAGGTGAGATACCTCCTCCCGGAACAGTGTCCGCCCGGGAGGCCCAGCCGCCAGGAAGGGGAACCACAACCTGAGAGACGGGGAGGCCGCCCCGCCCCCCCCTCGCCCTGGGGGTATGAGCCCCGCAGGCAGCTCCTCGGAAGCGACACCGGAGCCGCTGCCCCGGGTGCAGCCAGGAGCCCCGAACCTGCCCGCTCCAGCCTCAGGCTTATGCTTATTGGAACTAGGAGCCGACACATTAGAGAAGTTACTTTAAAACAAACAAGAAGAAGAAAATGGGCGTGGACCCCGGAACTATGTCCCACAGGGAGCGGGTGACGCGAAGAGCGCAGAGCTGACTCGCTGCGGGCGGAGGCCGAGCGCGGGACCGAGGGAGCGGCCAGGCGCCGGCCCCGCTGTGCCTCCCTCGCCCTGAAGTGCGGGCCCGGGGGTGGCCCG